CTATGAAAGTGACGCCATCCTTCCAGGCGCCCCGGTGCCCATCTAACTTGCCCCCAGACACCCGATATGCACCCGCTTTCCTACCCCCCCCCCCTGGGGCGCCCACGCTGGAGAGAAATAGCTGTAATGGATTCATCCTACAGTACACACGTGTACACCACATACACGTCTTCATCTACTCCCCGTTTTGATCTCACACACATTCTGTTCTGCACTGCACATGCAGCGCCACCACTCCTTGGCAATCGTTTCCATATCGATTGCCTCGTCTTTCCTGTGCTCACCACCCAGTTTAAACAATGTCCATCCCCCAAACTAAACCGTCCCCCCGCCATCCCCTCTAGCCAAACCGAACCATCCCCCTTCAATCCACCCCATCCCCCCCCATCCAAAATGGCTCGCCTCCCGACCTTCGCCCCCCCGCCACTCCTCCCTACGGCGCGGCCCCGCTCGACCTTCTCGCCGCGCACGCCAATCTGCTCTCTCGGGGGCATAGTCCTAGCCCCGGGGCAGGGCGCGCAATCGCCTGGCATGTCGCGCACGTGGATCGAAGCATCTCCCGCAGCGAGCGCCATCTTCACCAAGGCGGACGCCGTGCTCTCCGACTCGCTGGGCCGCCCGCTCTCCGAGCTCATCCTCTCCGCGGACGCCGCGACGCTCGCGCGCACCGACATCGCGCAGCCGGCCATCTTCACGGCGTCTATGGCGTGCTGGGCCGCGCTCGTCGAGACGGACGCCTTCGACAAGGCCAAGCTCACGGCCACCGCGGGCCTCTCGCTCGGCGAGTACACCGCCCTCGCCATCGGCGGTGCCCTCTCGTTCGAGGACGGGCTCAAGCTCGTCGCGCTGCGTGGCCGCGCTATGCAGGACGCCGCTGACGCCTCCGACGGCGGTATGCTCGCCTTGATCGGCGCCAACGAGGACAAGGCCCGCGCCGTCGTCGACGCCTGCGCGAACGGGGATGTCCTCGTCGCCGCCAACTTTAACGCGCCCGGCCAAGTCGTGCTTTCCGGCGCCACGGCTGCCATCGATCGCGCTGCAGAGTTTGCCGCCGCGGAGATGAAGCTGCGTGTTGCTAAGCTCGATGTCGCCGGCGCGTTTCATTCCCCGCTCATGGCACCGGCAGCAGAGAGATTGCGCGAGGCACTCGATCAGACGAAGATTGGATTGCCGGATGTCCCGGTCATGTCAAATGTCACGGGTCAGCCGCATGCGGTTGGGAGTATTAGAAAAATGTTAGAGAAGCAGCTCACTAGTTCCGTGCGCTGGGCGGATTGCATCAACTATTTGAAGGGTGAGGACAAGTGGAGTGGAGAGGGAAACAGCTGGGTGGAACTCGCCCCGGGGAAGACACTTTCGGGAATTATGAGGAAGATTGATAGGAAGACAAAGGTTGTCAACTTTGACCAAGCGCCTGTTGAAGCTGTGTGAGCGAATGCGCTACGCCACAAGGAATAAAGTTCGATGTGTGCGCATTTCATGCTGCACGATGAATTTGCTTGCGAGGGCTCATCTGCCTGTCGTATCGGCGGCACCTCTTTGAGGGGCACAGTTTTAACTTTACCGCCAGTAACATGAGTAAATCGCCAAACTAGTCTTCCAATCCTTTCGTTTGCTCACTACTAACTCGCGGCTCCCTAAGCAATACTGCCAATGATTCTCACATTCGTTGAGACAGACGCAAACGCTCTCATCTTTAGTTTGAAACAAAAGTGACCGGCCGCGAACCCATGAAAGTTGGACGCTTGCTCTTGGTCGACGCGCGCGGGCGCGTATGGGGCAGTGGGAACTTGAGGTCCGTCTCCATAAACTGTAGTGTGTTCGGGCGACGCACGTCCTCGTCAGCAACCTCTTGCACCTTCAGCACCTGAATGGATGACCAGCGCGCGCGATGGCGACCGCTCATTTCCATATACATCTGCTCGACTGCACCGGTCATCGTGACATCGCGATACTCCTTGTACATGTTCACCGTGTCGGAACGAGACTTGTATCGCAGCCAGACACCGATGTTTTTGACCGCTGAAATGTTCTTTTCGTGGATCTCATTCACAGAAAGGATCTCGCCGTTTGCTTTCTTGACACGCTTGAGCTTCCGCAGAAAGTACCAGAATCGCGACTTTGCGACAACAGGGTTGGGCGCAAAGATCCGCATGCGGTAGACGGCGGTCTCCTCATCAGGCTTGGAGCCGCCCTTTCCTGGGACCATGCGGCCGACCACATGGTACTGATGGAGCCAAGTCATTGATGTGTTTGACGTGCGGGGACGACAAGTACCGAAGGTCAAGGGAGCTACTTTTTTCGCTCGCGTAGGTCAAGCCACTGAGACAGAAATTGGACACAGATCGCAATGAGTACGGTCGGCGGCGTCGACCAGCACGATTCTGAAAGTAACTGAGTTTTTGCAACTATTTGCGAAAATATTTGATTAGATCTGGAATCATGATATACTTCAGCAAGACTGGCTCATAAATCCGAAAATGTACTGGACAAGGTGAAGGCTATGGAACGCACTTTCGATAACTGCCCGATGACGTGGTGAAGGGTGCAGGCGCGTCTCCGCACGTTCACCTTTGGCAGTACTGTAGTGCCCCGGAAAACGCAATCCCTCCTCTGATTTTGATGCCCTCGTTGGAGGTTTTCTGCTTGTCGTATCGGTCTAGCGCTGTGATAGACGACAGAACTTTCTCTTGTGACGTAACTTAGAAGCAAAGGCGCCAGGGTGGAAGTGAACCGCTGGTCGTTAGGTGCAAGATTTTGGTGCGAAGCAGTGACAACACAACAAAATCTTTTGGTTCAAAAATCTAGATAGTGCATCAGCAAGAATTGAGTTCCCTCAACTACTCAAACATTGACGGAGGGGGCAAGGATTTAACGGCACCGGCCGAAATCAAGAGCTCTTCATTGTTTGTAACAGCCAATACAAGAGAATGAAGTAGGAATCTGTCCGCATTGAGGATACAGTACTGGGTTTGTTCCCGATTTACGTCAGAGGCATCCACATGGTACGATGAGCAAGAACCATTGTCCCCATGCATCTACTGAATCGCGCAAGATCTCTCCTCGACAGAAGAATAACAATGTAGGCGCAATCTGCGACGCTACTTTTTCGACGCGAGCATGTACCCAGCGTCACTCGTGAAACAGGTGCCCATAGTTACAATTTATTCCACGTGTACCAACTGCTCTTCCCTTCATTTTGCTTTTACTGCGGATGCCTCAGTGGTCTCGGCGGCCTTATCCGCAGCCTTCTTCTCTGTGAGTTTCAGCATGATTTTGTTGTCTACGAGATCGTGAAGTGCGATGATGGACCTAATCAATGCGGAAACGTAAAGGACGAGCATCATGTCATTTGTCTTCGTATTGAAACCCTTTACCAAGTCTGGAATATTCAGACTTGGCAATAGGTTAAATACGTCCTGCATGTTGTACATGATTTCGTTATTAATGGGAAGTCTTCCCTCCGCGACGTCGGCAAGATATGCCTGCAATTCTGCAAGGCGGCTCTTGAGGGATTTTAGTGCTGCCAGCTTAGCAGTGATTTCTCCGGTGAGACTCGATACAGAAGCGTCCTTGATATCGCGCAATAGATGCCCGACGCCAACCTCCTCCGCGTCCGCCGCGTTAATTTCGCTTGGGAGATGTTCAAATGTTCTGTTGACGCTTCCGTCTTTCTGTAGTTCGTCGACAGAAATGTATGCTTCTGTAGGGAGACCAAGATCCTTCGGCTTAACATCAACAATGACAAGGACTGGCTCCGAGCAATACTTGTGTATCAGATCGTTGATCTGAAGGTCTCCAGTGTGGATCTTGGGACCCGTGGAATACCATCCCACAATTCGCTCGCGCGCATTGACTTTTCGGAACATTGCAAACATGTTCTCGAGATAGTCATGATCTAAAAACCAGACGGAAGAGTCCTTCTCATCTTCTTCAAAAGGCACAGCAAAAGAATTTGTACAACTGACTTTTCCTTTCACAACTTGACCGAGAAGAATTCCCACAGCGCGTCTGAAATCACAAGCAAATTCGAGGACATGTGGTCGCGGTTAGACATCCTGCATAAATCTGCACAAAGGCGGGGGTCATGGAACTGCCGCAGGATGAGTGACCAAGTGTTAAACTTGGATACTTACTTGTTACTGTCTTTGCTAACGCGGTTATAATGATCGATGACGCTGAGAAGCACCAGTGGGTGCACCGCGACAGACTTCAGATTCGAAGACATTGTGTCGGTGGCGGCTTCAAGTCAAGACGACGCGGCTATTCTGACGCAATATTGGTCGATCGCCGCTTCAACGGCCGCTTGCAATCGCACAATTGCAATCAAGCGAACTTCTTCGAGAATGAAGACAAGGAGGATGAGAATGATTGCAGCGCCAAGACCTGAACACGGACTGCCGGATACGTGTACTGAGCAGCAAAATTAGGGAACGCGAAGCGCAAAGCGGAATCGATCGAGGGCTGGAACCTTTGCCAAGACAAATGCAACACGTGGACAGGACTGTATCTACGCTACTGCATGGTAACCCCTCATGCGATGACTTTATCGAAGAATGGTCAGAAAATTTCAAATTGTTTCGCATTTTTTGTAATAGGTTTCCCTCTAGTACAGTGCTGTATCCTATTACCGTACAGTACGATGCCGGAAGAATTCATAAAAACTCTGCGAGAGGTCTGCTTTAGCTTCCGCAAGAGCGTATCCTGTCTCTAGAAACACAATTCAGGTGCTCCTAGAGTACTCTTCTCCTTTCAGTACACATAGTTCAACCGTCTTCACGATTGACCCTTCGGAGCAGGACGTTTTATCCTGATAACTATGCGGTGCTGTTCTAGCTCGAGGGCGATTGAGGGTGAAAAAATTACGCTGGAACCCTTTTTGTTAGCAATCCATTGATCGACATCAAAACTGTAAACCAGTTCTGCAATCATTAGATCGCGGCAATGACTTGTCCCTTGTCTGAGATGAGGGTAGTCGAACTACTTGCAGTTTCATCCACCGTTTTGTTCATCTGCAATTAGACTCCCTCTCTTTTTCAACTGCATCTGAAATGGGCACATTTTGTGTTTCTGTGATTTTCACCTCATCCCCGATGTTAAGGTGGACCACTCGACTTCTATGTGTGGGCACCAAGTTTTGCCCGAAAACCACCGCTTTTTTAAAGCTCCGAAAAGTCTTAAGTGCTTCTGTTGGTTGATTCTCCACATCCAGTACCGCAGTAGACGGATCCACAGTCACAACCTTGCATCTAGTACATGGTTGCGCGACCTCAAACGTCGCTTTCTCCCCAATTTCCAATTTCTTAAATCTGTCTTCTTCGAATGGCAGAAGACCCTTCCCGGCGATCACTATGTTCGGCCGAAACCGCGAAATTTCTAACTCTCTGCCCGACCTTTCCGACAGATCACCAAGCGACGCCTCTGATACCAGCAAAAACGGGTAGGCGTCCGAGAACGACGTCTGATACTTTCCAGGCTTCACGTGTTTGTTTTCGATTCTTCGCACAAACCCTTCTCGCATTCGCACCAGCCGTAGGTTTGGGGTTCCCAGAAATGTCACAAAGAAGTTTGCGATATCGTCGCCCTGATCGATCGCATCACAAGTGGCCATGAGGTGCGTCACTGATTGCTTGCTCCCCCACTTTTTCACATCATGTACAAATGGCTCCATACCAGGAGCCTCCAGGTATAACCTGCCCCGCTCGTCAAACGATGGACGCACCAAAGTCAACCGCGGTTGTTTTTTCTGAGTGAGACTTCGCCCAGTGCTGTCAACAACCATAAAGAGCCGGTCATCTTGGAGACCTCGATCTGTCACACGCGCACTCTCGACGGGAACACCCGCACATGCCTTGATAGGGTAGATGAATAACTGCGAGACTCGAACTTTCGTATCGCTTGCCTCGTATGGCGTTACATCCGCAGAAGTAACGGAAGCTTCAGACGTTGCTATATCTTCGGCAGCCACGGCGACGCTATCGGTCGTGCGGGGCGCTTCAAAGCTGCGAGCTCTCACTTCATCTTCTTCGCTAACGGTGGGGCCAACAGATTTGTGATAGACTGCAATAGCGACGCGAATGCCAAAGCCCAGCGCGAGATTCGCGATACAGATTACTGCAACTCGCCCCGCCGCGTCAAGAATCGTGTATGCATCCGGTAGAGCAAACATTTCCAGTCGGGTCGGAATGTCCGGGGGTGGTGGCCTACCAATACGCGGTGTGTAGCTCCCACGGCTTGGTAGAAAGGGCGGCAGCCTCATGTGTTGGTTCCTGTTAGATGAAACACTGGTGGCTGGTACGGTACTCCCCCAGGAATGCTTGCGCTCAGTCGAAGCGGTGGGTCCAGCGAGAAACTATGACAATGAGGTGCAGCTCCTTGGGTCCACTCAGTTGCTGCCAGCGCAAGGGCCGCGATAAGCAGGGACCGTTATCGCAGTAGGCGCTGAATCTTTCGGGGGCAGTGTCATAGTGAGATTATGCGGCCATCACGAGCTCGAAAAATAAAACCCCGGAATTTTGCATGCCGTCAACCGAATGTAAACCACTCCCAGCACGAGGGAAAAGGAGGTGTTTGCGTTGTCACTACTGTACCTGTGCCCCACCACTGTCGATCTTTCTTACCGCATACAACTGCAATGGTCGAGGGTTGAGTTTGCGCACAGACCTCCTGTCAATACTGCCGTAGATAGTGAATTCGATCATCACGTGAAGGCCTGTATATTTGAAAACTTGAGTCAGCTGTTCTATCTCACATACAGTCGGCCACAACCCTACGCTATAGACAAGTCTTTTAGAAACGTACTCCTTACGTAAATTCGGTCCCTTCGAACGCTGTTAAAAACTCCTCAACACCGCTAACAGTGCGTCTTAAGGGCGCCGTGTTTTTGGGGTAGCGATTTCGTCAAGGACTCACATGGTGTCTCAAGATTGAGCAAAATGGCTTCGAAATGCTCCTCATACGACTCATATTGTCATCTCCGACAGCAGCTTGCATTTACACAGGTGTAGTCTCGGCTACTGGAAGTAAATGATAATTTTCCTAACACTGCACACCTAACAAAGACGAATTTCGCTTGGCAAGAAAGTCTGCTCAGTTTTTGTGGACGAGAGCAATGATGTTGTTGTACACAATTACCTCAAGCTATCCAGTGGATAAGAACTTCTTACATCTCTGGCTCCTTCTTTCGCTGATGCACCGCAGGATATTTTAGTCCCAGGGGCCCGTCCCCAGACGTATTGTTCTCCACAGATGCATCGTTGTTGCATGAAGTAGTGAATTACCTACACGGGTTTTCTCATTCTCCGCAACCTTGCGACAAGTGCTCCATAAACTAATACCTTCTCCATGTACTGTTGAAACAGTATCGGAGAACCTAGCAAGCACTTTCTGCATATCTCGTTCAGTCACGAGTACTCATGGAAATGGGAAGGCTCATGTCACACCTTAAGATCATCATTTCCCTCTATTGAGTGGCGCATCCGCTGCTCAAGACAGACGGTTGACTCGAAAACGTTAAAATTCTTATCTGCGCATCCTAAGAAAGAGGAAATAGTTGTTATTCGGCTGGCAGTATGACAGAAAGCACCTGAAATTCGTGCTGCTTAAATTGACCGTTAACGATCTATATGTGAAGGCCAAACTCTGTGCCTCTCGCATCGCACTTTAAGGTGGGGTGAGGCACCTGGTGCCATATCAATAAGTGGGGAATGGGAAATTTCGAAATAGCTTTAAAAGTCGAGGAACACAGAGCAGGGGTAGTAATGTATGGATTCCTACTCACCACGTTCGGGTGATGCTACGTCATTGTACAGTGGATAATAGACGGGGCTGATAGGTTGAAAACTATCAATTTGCAACTGGCGTGGATGTGCAGATGTATTTTGAGATGGAACGCAAGATCGAAGAGATCGCGCACAGAGGCAACATTTCGAGCTGGAATAGCATCTAATGCGTCTCATGGACACAGAAAGGTTGCTGTCTCAAAAGCCCGAGGTGGTGGGAAAGCGATGCCTAGTTTGCAGTGATGATGACGATAGAAACGAGCTGGTTCTCGTAAACAGATGGCCATGCAGCAGCTGGACTCATTCCTCGGTGTTTCAATCTTTTATGAGCAATAAAGCACTACTGTGGCGAGGATGCACGTGGATGAAACGTCCTTTCATGCAGATCGAGAAGCTGTTTTTAGAAGCGAGGAGATCCTGTCCGTTGTCTGTGAGTCTACAGTGTGGTACAACGTGTAGCATACTATACAGAAGACACGTGACCGGTAATCAGCGGATTGTTGAGGTTTCGAAGCTAGAAACAGCATGCTGTACTGTAGCATGCGCCATGTCAGACAACTCCGTAGACAGAGGTCCTCACCCCGTGGTGGGGGAAGGGTAACTTACCCTGAAGGGGACTGTACCCATAGTACCTTGGTAGCAAGTTGCCGTACGCTGCGCTGTACCTTCAAGGTATTGCTACTAGCAAGGGTACTGTCGCATATTGCCTCGTGTGAGAGATTCCGGGCACTTCGAATACAGGACTCTTCCCGTTGCATGTCAGAGGCGTCCTCAAATGCTGGTTTTTCTGTGCGAGCTGCAGCGGGTGGGGAAGACTCATGTGTGCTGTTCACAGCACATGAACAGCAGTTGAACAGCGGCAGCAGATTTGGCCCCTGAATTCAGAACGGACCAATGACCATTCAGCTTAAATGATTGAGGTGATCGCCCTCACCAGCAATGCCTTTCAAATTCAACCTAAAAGAGGCCTGCCATGCAGCGCCCGTTTCGGCATCCTTGCTGGAGCCGTTCTATCTCATCTGTCTCAGCTGCCAGAGGAGCTGCCCGTGGAGTACCAGGGTAGCCTTTCAAAGTTTCAAAGCCCTGTTGAAGCTTACCAGATCCACGCCCATGCAACCGCCCTGCTAAATTAGGTTGAGGCTGTATCATCAGCTACGCTACAGCCACCCCTTCAAATTCAACCCAAAAGAGGCCTGCCATGCAGCGCCCGTTTCGGCATCCTTGCTGGAGCCGTTCTATCTCATCTGTCTCAGCTGCCAGAGGAGCTGCCCGTGGAGTACCAGGGTAACCTTTCAAAGTTCCAAAGCCCTGTTGAAGCTTACCAGATCCACGCCATGCAACCGCTCCGCTAGGTTGATGCTGTATCATCAGCTACGCTACAACCACCCCCCGTGCTCCCCCTACACTCACTTACACACAAAACCGCTTCACCCATACACTCCCATGCCCACCCTCTCCTTCCGAATATAAACCTACCCCCTCCACCCATCCTCCCCCTCATCGCACCCCAAACCATCCACCATGACCACCACCCCAGATCTATCCACGCCGCACCGCCTTACGCGCCGCACCTTCTTCTGGCAGGTCCATGTCCCGCGCGCCACATCCACCGCCGTTGTCTCGCACGGTCGCCACACCGCTGCCGGCCGCGACCGCGTCAAGCACTTCGACTCCACCGCCGCCGCCCTGGAGTGGGCGCACAGCGCCGTCCAGGATAAGCTGCGTGCCGGTTACGAACATGTTCCGCCGGAGGACCACAACATGCTTCCGGCCCAAGAGGACAAGGAGCAGAAGGAGGAGCCACAGGTCGAAGGAGACGCTTCCGCTCAGAGAAGGTCCGGCCGGAAGAGGCACGCCCCCCAAAAGTTCCAGCCAGATGCTGCCGCTAAGAAGGCCAAGACCAAACCGAACCAGAAGGCAAAGAAGGAGCCGCAGCCGTCTGTTAGTGGAAAGCCTGCCAAGAATACCACCCGTCACACGTCTAAAACGAAGCGCGGCCTGCGCGGACAATCTGCTGTTGACACGACCGCTCCCTTGGGTGTCGTTGATCCTGCCTCCAACTCAGACGGCGTCATCGTTACGGATCGCAGTTCCCCTGGTGCCCCGGTTGTCTACGATGTCATGCTGGTCTTGTTTTCCAAGGCCCTGAGACATGATAAGTTCATCGTGTTGCAGCTCATCGAGGAGCAGAACCCCAAGGGCTTTCTGCTTTACGAGCGCTGGGGAAGGACGGGGACGTCCGGCATGTCGCTCTCGACTAGTTTTGGACAAGGCAAATTACAACACGCTCTTTCTGCCTTCCATGACAAGTTCAAGCTGAAGACTGGCCTACCCTTTGATCTCAGAGACACAGCCCCTATTAAGGGCAAGTATCGTATGGTCAAGCAGAACTTCCAGGTGAAGGCGGAAGCCTTCGCTTCAGAGCATGCCCGCTGGCAGTATTGGGTTGGCGATGGTGTTGATGGCAAGGCCAATGGGTGGTACGAATATGACGAGTCGGGGACCACTCTCGCCGAGCAGCTTTACATGGAATTTCAGAACAACCCCTGGCTCACGGAACGTATTGTCGCCAGTGGTCAATGGTCTTACCTCGTCAATCTCTTATCTATGACTCAGACTAACATTGTTCATCCGAACCACACGTGCCGTCACATTCGCCGCGTTGCACCGGGAGAGAACCCGGATGATTACGATCCCACCGATGACTTTCCGGGCACCACGACAAACGCAATAGCGCCGTCTGTTCTTCCTCTTAACGTCAAGGCGAAGAAGCCGAACGTGCTTCCTGTAACGACGAAGCCGGCGCACAAGGTAGAGCCAGCACCGCATGCGAGCACTTCAGATGCTGCGCCGGCCAAGACCTCCATGAAGAAAGAGCCAGCTCAAGAACCAGCTACTGCCCAGGACGTGCAGGTAATCATTCCGGTCGATACTATGTGTCCGAATGCCGAGCGGTATGTTGTCTTTGGTGATTTCGATGCGACCCTCAACCAGACCAATATTATGAAGGGGAACAACAACAACAAATATTACAGGATTCAATTGTTGCAACATAAGAAGACGAAACGCTTCCTCCTTTGGACGCGCTGGGGACGGGTTGGCGAGGCGCGAAGCACACAGACAAAACTCCAGTCCTGTAACGGCCAAGAGGGGTGCGAGCAAGCCTTTGAGAAGAAGTTTAGCGACAAGACTGGCAACTTATGGGACAACCGCGACAACTTTGTACCCCGCAAGAAAAAGTATGAAATGCTGGAAATGGATTACACCACGAAAAAGGAGGAAGACGTGAAACCATTGATAATGTCTCTGAAGAGCAAGGAAGAGAATGTTGAGTACCTTCCTTCGTGCTTGCCGGACGAAACTCGTGATTTGATCGAAATGCTGTTTGAGGAGGACGTGTACATTGACGCCCTCAGGGAATTTGAAATCGACGTTAACAAGATGCCGTTGGGTGCGTTGTCGACCGACCAAATTCAGAAGGGTGTTGCGGTTCTCGAAGAGCTTGAACAAGCTCTCAAGGCCTCTGGGAATCAACGTGCGAAACTGGAGCGGCTATCTTCGCAATTCTACACGACGATTCCTAGGGATTTCGGGAGGACTCGTCCCCCTGTGATTTCCAATCCCGACATGCTGCAGAAGTGCTACGACATGTGTAATGTTCTTCTCGATATGGAGAAGGCCACCGACATGATGTCCAAGGCTGCAGACACAGTCAAGGAAGAGAAGGAAGATCCTCAGAAACTCCCTCATCCAACGGAGGCACAATATGCGTCACTGAATGCCGAGCTCAAACATATACCGAGAGACAGCGAGGAGTATGATGTGGTTGCGAAGGCGTTCGATAAAACCAAGGGACAGTATGAAAGCGCCAAGCTCCTTGATGTTTGGCGCGTTGAAAGAATGGGTGAGAAGGCACGGTTCGAGCAGGTGAGCCATCACAACAACTACTTACTCTGGCATGGAAGTCATATCGCTGCTATTTCGGCAATTCTCGCAACAGGTCTGAGAATCATGCCACATTCTGGAGGCCGGGTGGGCCGCGGTATCTATCTGGCATCAGAAAATGGAAAGAGCCAATCGTATACGACGCCGGAGTGTCGGCGCAAGGTTGGCTGCATGTTTCTAGCAGAGGCGGCGCTTGGGAAGATAGCTGAGATTATAAAAGACGATCCGAGCTTGAAACGGCCCCCCAGTGGTTTCGATTCGGTGAGAGCCTGCGGCAGACAAACACCGGGTGGGTTCAAGGAAGTTCAATTCGATGATAGACATGTCAAGTTGCCTGTTGAGCAACCTGTTGATAACCCCAAAGCCAAAGACAGTAGCTTCCGTCAAGATGAGTACTTGATATACAACGAAGCACAGGCGAGAATACGATATGTAATAACTGTGAAGAAGGGCTAGAAATAATTGCATTAAGTTGGGATACATTCATCGTTCGAGACATAATTTGTCTGCTCTCCCTTTTCTGGGCTTTCTAAGCATAGTTCTGGTCAAAAAAAACAAGCTGTACGTGAGTGGATGTGTTATCTCTATTAGATCCGATCGTCCATTAGACCACCGCCGTTAGTTCAGTCTGGAGTTAGTTGGCCTTCACGAGATTGTATGAGCATCGTTAAAGCCACCTTTCAAAAGCTGAAGTAGTGATCGTAGGATCAAGTAGATGTTTTAAGTTACAACGCTGCTCTAAATCTGCAGGATCTCAAAGAATTCAAGGTAGACGGCTGGTTCTGGTTCCCTCTCAGACTTTTTCTACGCTACGACCTAATAAATCCCTAGTGAGGTACAGGGCCGCGACAAAATGTGTGCAGGTCACGTCTTGAAGCGTTGGGCACTACACACGCTTATGGAAACGAATGCCAACAGGACGAAAGCAATTGTTCAAAAGCAGACCCATAAAGCTTTTCACAATTTCAATCCTGCAAAGGCGTAGAGACTGCCAAGGAAAACTTCATATCGAAACATACGCTTCTGTCGCGTAGCACGAACGAACCCTTTCATTCTCTTCGTATGTCTAATTCCGCTTATTGCCCTACATGTCCTCCGAATGTTGCTCTCATCCCTCTGCTATTCTTCACTGTCCTTTTTCGTGACTCCCTGTCAGAAGTGCATCCTTTCATTCTGTCCGGTGCTGGCCCGTTGCTCGCAACTATGCGTGAGCCGCTACCGTCAATGATTCTCAGCATGACCCCCCTGAAACCGTTAATATGCTTTTTGAGCTGGTGGCAATGGTGAGAGGGAATTTGGTACAGTAGTCGAAATCTACAGTACCGTTGGTACAGTAGTCTCTCTTTAAAGGAATGACCCGCAAAAGAATATTCTTTTTAGTAGAGTACATACACTGTTTCCCGTCCTGGGAATGGCCAAAACAACCCTATTTTCATGACATTTATTCATATACGACATAAGAATATAGTATATCGAATGTCGCTTTATCCCATGGAGTACAGTATGTAGAAGGGAACGTATTTTGGTCCTCTAAAACGGCCAAACAGATGTCCGAGATCTGCTTGGTATAATGGTCAGACGGATGTTCCGAATTTGGCTGTACTACGCTACCTTCGGTGCATCAAAAGAGATCTCTCAGCTGCCAAAGTGCAAACACAGAAGCAGACGAGAATTGATTCCTTGTTTTCAGGGGCGCCAGTAACTTTGCTGGACAAGCATCATAACTGCTGGCATAGGAATATTCTCTTTAGATGAATAATAATGTCCTTTCCCGTCCTCATTCTTACAAAGAGAGATTACTGTAATGGGGGGTCGAATAGACCCAGATCGAGCTCTAATCTATCGGAAAATATATTCGAATAGATTAGAAACATGTGGTAGAGTATCGTTTTTTCCACGGCTGAAAATTTATCATTAGATTAGAGCATCCCCACCGGCGATTGAAAAGTGCTAAATATTTTAGAAACTTGGCGAGCCTTGATTGTCCTCTCTCTATTATACACCTTTTCTTTTTTAAGACCATGCCGAGAACTGCATTGACCTGCAGGTCAACCCCACCGGCAAAAAACCGCACCCTCCTACTTGTGAAGCGCATGCTCCTACTCACTGAAGTCCGATGCAAACACCTTCACAACCTCCACGGAGTACCATGGGCATCTCTGACTTCGTGGAGGACGACATTCTCGAGATTGTTGAGGATGTTTTGTCCTCGGATAGCGAACAAACAAGACGCCACCAAAAATACGGGCAATCGATTTTAAGCCCCACGCCAAACAAAGAGACCCATGCAACACCACCAAGGCCGTTTTCTAGGCCAAACGGAAGCAGAGACGCAACACAAAGGCCAGAAAATACCCACAAAAATCAGGAGGACCACGGCACCCCCCAAGACGAGAAAAGAAGCAACTAAATTCCCCGACGCGGCCGAATGGCGAAAAGCGCATGACGCAGAACTCGATCAACTAAACAGTATGCATGCGATAGAATGGCACTCCCCAACGCCCAATATTCTCAAACGCGACATATTTCCTACGACAATGACCTACAGATACAAGCACAGCTTGGCATCGGCGAACTCACTACGGAAAGCACGCTGCTCCATTTGAGGGGACCTCATGAAACCGACCGTGCACTATGACCCGGATAAGACAGCCACATACATGGCAGACAAGACGAAAATACGAGAATTCTTCGCAATCGCCGGGTCAATGAACATGCACGTCGAGCATTGTGACATTATGGGAGCCTACCTACACCAACAATACCAACAACACAAGAAAGTATTTGTGTGGCAACCCCTCCGATTTGATGGCACGTACAAGCACAAAAGTCCACACGGCCAAATGAAAGGGAACCTCTACGGCACACCGGCCGCAGCAATCATATATAGCACGCAATTAAATAACCACCTCAAAAAATGGATACACGCAGCTACGCTCGGACACGTCACTGTTCACAAAACGGGACAACCACCACATAATTCTCATCGGGATCAGCATGGATGACTTTTTGCCAGTTGCAACTAACCCCACCCTGAGTGACGCACTGTACAAGGTACTGCGAGCCAAGTACCAAGTCAAAAGACTCGGACGCCCCGAAAAGTACCTGAACTGGACCATACAGTACAGAAAAGAAGGGATCCACACCTCCCAGCCACAGCAAATTGACAGCGAAGTGCCCATGCTCTCTCAAAACCAGAACAACCCCCTACGCACACCATACCTCGACGGTGTCAAAGTGGACCCTCCCACCAAAGAGGAGACCACACGAGAAGAAATACCTGACATATACAGCACTGCAAAAGGGGCAATCAGATACATAGCCGACTCTAACAGGCCCGACATCGCCTTCCCAGCGACAACACTAGCGAGGGCGCTAAAAAGACCCACGCAGCGCCACTGAAAACTGCTGCAACGACTGGCACAGTACCTCCACACGACCCGCACGGAGGGAATCTTTATGCCCCGAGGAACAAAACAGGGCATCACAATCGACGCGTTCTCGGACGCCGACTACGCGAAAGACGAGACGACGCCAAAATCCCTCACCGGCACCATCACGCTGCGCAACGGCTCCCCGGTACAATGGCTCTCGCAAAAACAACCGATCGTCGCCAAGAGCACACGCGAGGCGAAATACATAGCAGCCGCCGAAACCGCCTCCCTCACAATTTTGCTCGCCAACATGATGAGGGAAACGAGCATACCGACCCGCCAACCAGTCCTGCACGTCGACAATTCGGCCGCCGTGCAAATGGCAAAAAACCGGCGCCACGCGCAGACGAAACTGTATCAATGTAAGATACCCTTTCTTGCACGAGACAGGTCTAAACCCAAAGTATGGCGTATCCCCACTACCGAGCAAAAGGCGGATATATGACGAAACTGCTCAAAAACACGCTGTACCAAAAGCACAAGCACAACATACAGATGAACCCACCCCCCGCACCGCCAGGAAGCCCTCGCGTCCGGGGGAGTGTGGTTCCATCCAGAACCAACGACGCTCAGACTTCCTACATACAACGCTAACACATGGTTCTATCCAGATAAGGCAGCCCTCACAGATAAGGCATACAGCCATTTAGGTCTACCATAGCAAACAGAATAAAGTCGCTGTCGCCTCCGCCACCTCCGGAGGTCGGAGGCATCGGTCTGATCTTGGCATCACCCTACTGAGAGCAGACAAGGAATAGAACACGGTAGACAGTCATTTCAGAGCATTCTAAGCAATAAATGGACACGTGCCAGAAAGGCGAGCATAATAGTTCGTTCTGTCAATAGTTCGTATCTGTGGGTCCTGGCACGGGGCCAAATATTGAGAGGTACCTACTGTAACGGACATTGTCTATCGGGTAAATGACCCGTTAGATCTACCTATCAAAACTACGCACTTGGCAAAAAAGTCCCAATATATTTCAAAATAGACGTTTGCGGTAGAGATGCTCTTAGGGCCGTATCGCGCCGATAAACTTTGGTTAACTGTTGACAGTTGACATCATCCTTAATGCTATCTTCGCCATGCAATAACTTCATCGGAGCAGCTCAGACTATCCCTCCGTATTGAAAGAAAAACCTCCAGGGGAAGAATCGTATGTTCGAGAAGAACGCTTTGTGTTTGTCAGCAGAAGAGAAAGCTCAGGAACCCCCCCTTCCATCCCGCTTCTCGGCTCCGAACCGGAGAACTGGTCACCAATCGGTTTCATCTCCCCAAACCGTCCAAAATCCATCCTGTAATATCATAGACCACAAGAGCGCCCTCAATCACCTTCTTTGAGCGAGAAAGTTTCCTTCAGAGAATGATCCCGCCTTTGCTCTTGATTATCCCAAGCAATTCACGACCGTGAAACTCATTTCGTAAGAGTTGCACTCTCAACCGTTTCCCTATCAAGAAATCAAGGGGGCATTGTCTTCGGGAAGCCGTGCGCCCGAACTAGATATGTCGCGTTCCTCTTGCGCATCATTCTGGGGTCCATTCCGCCCGCTATTTGGAGGCCACACCCTCCAGGAGGTCGCCACATCGGCCTTCTTTCCACCATGGCTCGTTCTCGCATGGCGAGCGGTGTTTGCAATATTTATGAGCACTACCCTGATTGTCTATAGTATTCGCGGTGTGTACACATATCAATTCTACAGCATCTGGTGCCATATCGGTATCGCGATTGCTTTCACTCTCAACGCCTCCGCCTCTGCACTGTATTTATTTTCCCAGTCCCCGCGCCGCGACAACATTACCTTTCTGGCGTTTTTCATCTTTCTCTGGTTTCAGGTCTTTGCCATTGCAGCTCTTTTTCTTGATGTCGTTTTCTGGACGATCCTGTTCGACTTCGATGGGTCTCCGACTTTTGCCCAGCTATCTCAACATGCCGTTAACCTAGTGTTTGTCCTGCTCGACCTCTTGCTCTCGGCTCGCATGCAATTCAAGCTGCTTTACGGAGTAGTGTTCATAGCATACACAATTGGATACCTTACCTTTGCTTGGATTCGCTTTGCGATCACGGATGATTGGGTCTATGGGTTCTTGGACTATACGGATCAGAGTGCGGGCCTCACTGTCGCGTATTATTTTGGAGTGCTGCTTTGGGCGTTTGTAGCGGCTTTCATTATGATTCTGGTTTCGAAACTAAGCCGGTGCCCGTGCGTTACAGCGCGAAAAAAATCAACAGAGGCTGTGACAAGGGAGGAAATCGTTTAAGCGGGCCCGTTCAACAATTCTCGAGTTGCAAAGTTCCTAGAAGTGTATGATAAAAGCTGTGAGGTAAGGCGTTTCGACAACCTCCGCAGTTTTCATGGGGGAACGCTTTAATATATTTCGACTGTTGTGTGCGCGAATGTGACGCGCATTTTGCAAGCAACTCGCCTGCTTTCTTTGTTGTTCATGAGCTTAGTTCCAGATTACCTTCGATCAGACCTGCGTTCGATAGCAGAACAAATCCCACGACCCCCGTCTACACTTTTAAGATCATTGACACACGATCCACCAAAAATGAAGCAAAGGCTCTAGCTAGCTACCCTTCGAAGGGTAGCTCTACCAGAAGGGTAGAGAGAGTTTCTGTCTTGAGTTTACCCTCAATATTTTGCAAATCCTGAGTACCACTGTAATGGTCTGGATCAAACATTGCGGGATGGCGGGAAAATGTTGAAACGAAGGACCAGCAATGCAACCAGTTCTACTTTCGGAAGGGTGCAGATACCATCCCCTTTTCAGGTTGACCAAGGAGAAACTATATCATTTGCCGGCACAATCACATCTTTCAAAGTCAGTTGTTCTCTCCTTGCGGGAAAGGCATTGATAGAAGTCTATGAATGGAAGAAGAAAGCGCTCACGGCCTGACAAGTCCTCATGAAACTTGTCGAATCCGTCGCCTTCCCGAGGGCGTTATCAATCGCATCGCAGCCGGCGAAGTAGTTGTCCGCCCTTCAGCAGCACTGAAGGAGCTCTTGGAAAACAGTCTAGATGCAGGCGCATCTTCAATCACCATAACAGTCCGAAACGGTGGGCTCAAACTGTTGCAAGTCTGTGATGATGGGAAAGGTGTGTCGAAAGAGGATTTGCCATTGCTGTGCCAACGGTTTGCCACTTCCAAGCTGCGCACCTTCGAAGACTTGGCCGCTGTTTCTACCTTTGGATTCCGGGGCGAGGCTCTCGCCTCCATTTCGCATGTCGCAAGGCTTTCCCTCCTCACCAAAACGAAAGACTCCGATGTTGCGTACAAAGCCACGTATTTAGACGGCGTACTTCGAGGTGAGCCAGAGCCTACTGCGGGGTGCGATGGCACCACCATGATTATTGAGGATATGTTTTACAACCTCGTCGCTCGTAGGAATGCGCTCAAATCGCCCTCAGATGAGTACCGCGCTGTTGTGGACGTCGTCTCCAGGTACGCTATTCGGTACCCGCAAGTGTCGTTTGTTTGCCGACGTAGTCAGACTGGGAATAGCTCGAGGGCTATGTCGGCAGCAGATGTTCGAACTGAGTTATGTTCGACCGTGTCGGACAACATCCGAGCAGGGTTCGGCTCTTCTGTCGCAAACGAACTATTATCATTTGAAGTCAAAATTTATCCAGCGAAGGCAACGGTTTCGGTCTATACCACAACGGCTAACTTTAGCATGAAGAAGGCTGTTTTCGTTCTGTTCATTAACGGGCGTCTTATTGAATGTCAGCCCCTTAAAAGAGCTGTACTCGCAACATATGGCAGCTTTCTCCCGAAGAATGGACACCCTTTTGTGTATGTCGATCTGAAGATGCGACAGGCAGATATTGACGTTAACGTTCATCCGACCAAGAAAGAAGTACGATTTTTGAATGAACAACTCATAGTTGAAGCTGTCGTCGACAAGCTGATTGAAAAGCTGAAGACAACAGAGACATCGCGAACTTTCTTAGCTCAATCCATACTTGCCACGAATGGGTCCGGAATTCAGGCTGAGCCGCCAATCACTAGTTCTTCTCCCAGAGTACGGGACTGGGACTCAGAGGAGAAACTAAGGGTGCGACAGTCAAACTCTCATAATTTAAGTTTTGCTTCACAAGACATCAAAATTTTTGACGAGCTCACTGAGAAAAGCGGGGCTCTCGACGAACTTCCTGAGCCGGGAGAATCATTGCCACAAAACGATGCATCTCAGTCACTCCGTGACTCAGAAGGGTCTCCGTTTGAACGGATGGATTTGACTACTCCCGGTAATCACACTGAGACGAGGGGTCCTGGGAAAAAGAGTACCTCTTCTTCGAAGAGCAATATTATGCACGCCAAGAACAAAGTACGGACGGGAGCCGACGCCCCTGTCGGGCTTTACGATGTATATCTCAGTCGCAACAATCAATTTTCTAAAGCTATTGATATTCAAACCTGGCGGAAGCGACGAAAGCGTGCATTGCCGCTGCTTACATCCGTTGAAAATATGTTGAATGAATGTCAAAGCAAGTCGCACAGCGGCCTAACGCAAGCTCTGAAAGAGCACATATTTATCGGCGTTGCTTCGGACAACTTTGTTTTGTTGCAGCATTCGACAAAGCTTTTGCTTGCAGAAATAGGGCCGATTGTTGCGGAGCTCATGTATCAACAAATCCTAATTCGGTTTGCAGACCTTGACACCCTATCCCTTTCGCCCCCTGCTCCGCTGGTGAGATTAATCGAAGGATACACTGGCGGGAAGGGCAAGTCGGAAGTACATGAGACTGCTGACTACTGTTCGAAAATGTTGATGGACAAGGCCCCTATGCTCTCAGAATATTTTGGGATTTCAATTTCCAAAGACGGCGAAGGTGAAGTTGAGATTCACACTATCCCTCTTTTGTTTCCCAAAGTCATGCCCGATGTAAAGTATTTCGGGGCATTTTTGTACCATTTGGCTGTGGATACAAATTGGTGTGAGGAGTTTGAGTGCCTCCAGGGAATTTCTAGGGCAATAGCAGAGTGGTATGGAAGGCATTGGGATTTTGGGTCTTTCCAAGGTGACGAGACGATGGGCTCGTATGACGAGAACCGAGAACAAAACGTTGAGGGGAATTTGGCGAATGCAAAGCCAAAAACTAGCGCAGAGACTGTGGATACAAGCCGAGAGTGGCTGCTACGGCATATTTTCTTTGCGTCATTGCGAAAGGACTTTTATCCACCGCAGAGCTTTTACACGGAGAAGATTGTGAGAGAAATCACCTCAACTGCTCGATTATACAAGGTGTTTGAAAGATGCTGATGGCTGTTCGTTTCTCTGATGTCGTCCAACATGAGAGAGAGACAGTGTGCTACCTGGATGATGGTGCGGGTTTGACTGCGGAGAGAGATGAACGAATTGGAATTAGGACGACAGAACTTGTTCCCGGGGACGGAAAAGGGATGTACGTAGATATGCGATGGAACGAGTGAATGATGCGTGCGCGAGGAATAGTCATTGCCTTCTGCCCTGGACATGTGTAATAGACACTGGGCCGCATGCACGTTGGCGACTTTTTCTAAAGAATAATTGGCCAAAGGATTCTGGGCCACTCGTCTCAGAGCACAACGAACAAAATGAAGGCCGGCTGTAAGTCCTCTCGTGCATGGCTGGACTGTGAGGATGCTTCCAGCCATGTCCTGTGCAACGTTGCTGTACCCTGCTGTCAGGATACTGTATCGCACGCTGATTCTGTCGCCGGCGCATGGAGAACCTTCCGCAGCCGTGACCGAGTGTCGTACGGCGAGGGTGACTGCTCTGCATGAGGTGCCGGCAAGGACGGAAGGTGTGGGCAGACCGGACGGTGACATGGGGTGTCTTTCAGAAAGGCGGGCAAAAGGCTGGGGACAAGTTTGTGCTGACATGGGGTGTTTGTGGAGGTGACGGCGGCATGTAGATTTTTACGGGCGAGATTTGCACATACTGTACCCTTGGGTACCACAAGCAGTGAAGATGGGCACGTTGGTGAGACGGTGGGAGAAGGCGGATATTTGGCAATGCAGCCCCAGAGAATTAGTCTCGGGGCCCAGGCCACGGCGGTTGACATGCAGGAAGGCATGCGGTTTTTGGTGCTGTAGCCAACGGGGCGTTGAGAACCTCGAGCCCGCGAATGCGGGGTACTGTGGCACAACTTGCTTGGGTATGCTAGGCGCTGGCAGGAAAGAGGGCCGGAGTCCAGGTGTTACGCAACGATTTAGATGACGGCTGCTTTGTGAGAGGACGAGCACACGTCGCCTGTACCCCAGGCCAAGTGTGGCCGGGCTTAGTAAAGCCACTTTCGCACTATGTACAGAGTGACCTCGGAGGAGGCATCGGCATGCGGCGACGACGGTAAGTTGCGTGCACGCAGGGGAAAAAGCGGGGGCGGCAAAAGAAAGCGCGAGGCGTACAGAAGTGTTTGCAAAATTTGGGAGGGAAAGTAGCCGCGACGTGGGTCAACGAAAGAGAAAAGGTGCGGCATGAACAAGCCGCGGGGGCAGATACCGCAGCGTGATGCGACGGCGGCCGGGGCCAGGCTGCTGAGCGTCACCGAGCGGGCGGGCGGGGCAGCGAGAGCAGCGCGTGCAGCACAGGGGGGGGGGGGGGGGGGGTGCTGGGCGGGCCCTCGCGCATCCGGGTGTGATGTCATGGGGACGCGGGGCGTGCGCGCGTCCACGGCGGGAGTGGGCGTGCGCGCTCAAGTGATTGGCTGATGCCAAGTGGCGGCTCGGGCGCGACACTGTGTGCGGGAATGGGGCCGGCGACGGTGGCCGCACGCCGTTGGCCGCCAGGGGCGCGCCCAAATGTGACGTACTTGTACTGTAGTGCTGTAGTGCACGTCACCCGGATTCGATCGGCCCCCCGTCCCTCCCGTTGGGACAAGCCGTGCCCTGCGCCGCCCCCGTACCGCCCGCCCGTACGGTACCGTTACTGTAGTCTCCGCGCGCACCTTTCGCAAGCGCGCCCGTGCCGCCGCTTCCGCGACTCTCTCTCACTTCCGTAACCGCCGTGCTGGTGGCGTTTGCCTTACGCCCGTATGAACGGACTGGTGACGCGGCGCTGGCGCTCCGATCTCGGTTTGTCGTGTCCGTGACGGAAAGATTGCAAGATGTTACGTTTATACGTCCTTATTCTCGCCGGGACGCCGGGTTTGTAGTTTGTACCATGCAGACAGTGTCGTGGCTCCTGTCGTCACTGTGTCGCAATACTGCACCGCGATACCTGCACCGTGATACTGCACCATGAAAATGTGCTTCCTTGTTCTTCCCCCGCTCGTGAGACATTACATGCTGACGAAAAATCGGCCAGGTCATCCGCTCTTAACACTTGCGCGCCTAACCGACTAAAGCGCTAGCAATTCTGCGAAAACTTCGCCACCAGTCTGTGGCTGACAACTCTTGTAGCAAGGTTGCGCTTTAGTGATAACAGTAACAGTCATAGGTCAGTTGAAAGTACATATCGAAATATATAGTAAGGAGGGAAATTCGTGGGGCTCGAGCGACATCCTTCGATACCCGCATATAAGTCAAAAGTTGAATTCCCCTGCGGCGCGCGCTCAACTCTTGATTCGGAAACCATTCGCGCGACTTCCAGCGCTGGTCCATACACTCTGCAACTCATTACGGCCTAGGCCCAACCACGGATGAACGCGACGAGGCTCGCGACGATGATCGAACTATCGCTCGCCCAGAACCCGACCGAGCAATCGCTCGACCAGAACCTGATCGAACAAAATGACGCCCAGAGCCCGACTTGAACAGCTGACGTCCGGAGCCGGATCGAGCAAATTGCGTCCCCGCATGTACCACTGGCGTGAGCTTCACAACTTCATTACGACCCCCGTTATACGCCGCTGGCATTGTAAAGTATTCAGATTCTTGAGGCGCATGCGCCGAATCCACTCCCTTTTCTTCCCAAACCGAGATTGGTCGGTCTTCCACTGCCTCCTCTGCAAGACTAGACAGCGATATTACCCCCTGCAGCCGACCCGCTGTAGACGAACGATACCATCTCCTGTTCGATCCCGACCTCGCCAGCTCCGGCGACTGAGTCGGAACTGAATGACGATTTCTCTTCTCCATCGAGCTTTTAGAATTCCCCTTTGATTTTTCGTCCATGTCCGCGACCACAACTTCATCCTCATCAAACTCGTGCGAATCTTCCGTTGGCGCCGAAATATTGCGCTTCTCTTCACTCTGTACATCCTGAGAACTGTCCAAGGTAACCTGTGATTCCAATTCAACGTCCTTGTCACTCACACTCTTCACATCCGCAGTTGAATCATCTTTGTCGCCCTTCTTGGTCTTCTTCTCAGCACTACGCCGTCTGAACATCAAACCGCTGAACGCCGTCACAGAATAGACGAACAAGCCAGCGACGATGGAGGCGACCGCAAGCCCCGTCGTCTTCGCAATGAACGCTCCCTTCTCCTGAGATGGGTTAATAAAGTTATAAACGTAAATGCCATCCGTCTTGTAAAATACGTACAATGTGCCTGCATATGCTGCGTTGAATAAGGCGACGAGCAATACATACACCAATCGAAACTCTATCGACATCGACAACAAGACATCGAGAACGGCGACGGCAGGAGCGATGGCATTTAAAGCCAGAAGCGGATAGGAAATATCCGCAGACTGCACCGGCAAAATGGCAGCCCAAAAAACAACGGCTCCAAACACAGAAACAGTGACAAACACTTGATAAAGCGGGACAGTGACTTGTGCAACGAAACGAGCAAGGCCTCTATCTACGGGTTCCTGACCTAGCAATGTGTCGGCGGCATGACCGCCGTCTTCTTCATCAACCCGCATTGCTTCCTTCACGATGTCCTCTCGGAGGAGCTGCATTAGTGAGCAGAAAACGGCACCGACGAAGGCAAGGGCAAGGCCCGCATATGCCCATGTGGCGTACAGCCGCGGAGAGAACGCGGACGTAAGCGTGAAATAGACCATGTGGCTGACGAGCATTGCTGCAACGGCAAGACGAAAGAGCAACAGAGCGGAGGTGGGCAGAAAGCGAGATGAACCTGATTCTCGGATAGAGTGAGGGGAGAAGCAGAATCTTCTTCGGGTGCGTTCGGGTTTCGCATGCTTCTTTCGGGGGGAGGAGTCGGCCGAGCCGTCCTCTTCGGAATTGAACGAAACCGGAACATCATCGACTGCGTCGGGGTCGTAATCTACCTGGTGAACTGCCTTGAGGGAAGAGGGAGAAGAGGGGAAGGGAGCGGAAGGTTGTTCATGGATCGGGGAAATGGGTGATAGAGGACGGAGAGTCGGGGGCGGTGGTGGCGGAGTTTGAGCGTCGGGGTGCGAGGGCACCAC